GGTTTGCATGACTCTCAAATAAGAAGGAACGAGCAGACTTGGTTTGCCCATTTTTGGCCCAACTCACATGAGTGAATTGCTGGTCATACTGTCTCTGACTTTAGCAGTCCTAATTCGCATGCCACACATAAGCCAGCTGTTAATGCTTCTACATAAAGCCACAGCCTCTGAAAACGAGGAAGGCCGATTAGGCTTCCAGCCTTTCAAAATTAAATTTTACCAATTTCCAAATTAGCTGAATGGGAGCTATCCCAAGGAATACAAATAAACTACTACGTAAACTTACACTTCGGATATTCTAACTAAGGAAGAAATGTGTTATCTAACAGCTGATGGTCTCTGGTCAATTTTAAAGCCAGTATGGGGACACTTGATCAGATGTATATTACATGTTTTAGCACCATAACCAAAAAAGAATTCACTGGACACACAATCCACAGAGAATTATGGACAGTGGATTGACAGCATGCTGTCATGCCTACCAAAACCCAGGGAATGACAGATAGCATTTGTAAAATTTTACAAAATGTTGCACTGAAATCACCTTTTTCATCAGAGTCAGAATCTGATTCATCTGAGCTTTCGACAACTTCCATGTCATCTTCATCCTCATCATCTTCCTCTTCTTCATCCTCATGATCACTTACTTCCTGAACTTCCTCCTACAAAATTTACAAAATAGAAAGATGAAGCACATCCGCACTTCTCCATCCCCCAGTCACTTGTAACTATCACTGTGAAGCCACAGTATTCACTTGACCCATTCCTAATAGCCTTTTTATAAACTTGTAAATTTTTAAACAGACAATGAACAAATAAACCAAACACTTCCAGATACTTACTGCTTCCAATTCATTATTCTCTCTCTCCGAAGTGCCTTTTTCATCTCTCTTCTCCTGCTCATTATCTGTGTTATCCTCTTTAACACTAGCAGAAGAGGCACAGACACAAAACATTCACAAACTGAAATGCATGTGCTTCCCATCCCCCAAACCAGTAAGTTGCAATTCCAAATAAAGAGGAAAACCAAAGAGTAGTTAGACAAAGGCACAGGTGTTGGGCATGGGTAAAACACAACTTCCAAACTCCCATAGATAACAAAATAATGCTTAATTACTCTTAATCTTAGTTTGTACAATAATTTTAATGATTAGCACATTGTTTTAGGGCATATTGCACAATTAGGACAACAAGAATACACATCTTCATATATTACAGTATTACACATTTTGCATGGAAGTTGCAGTGTACCCAGAATAGCTTTTACAAAACAAAGGAAGAACATTGTGTGTAGGTACAACATACTTTTCAGGTATTACTATTCTCTCAGGCTATCACAGAGCCCACTCTGCATACAATCGTATGAAAAAATATGTATAAGCCTAACAATGTCATAATTTATTATACTATAACTATTTTTTGATCAGTTATCTACCTTGACATAAAGGGAATGCTCAAACTAGGTATTGACAGAACAACAGAGAGTCAAAAAATACTGAAATTCTCACAGTAGGACTGTCTGTCTCCAAAAGAAACTTTTCCCAATTATTTTAGTATATTCCCATGCTTTTTTTTTTTTTTCAGACTATGGCTCAAAACTTATTTAAAAGTCATATATCTCTTGGCAACATGAACCGTAGTGATGGCTTGTGCAAATTACAGGAGGGGTTTGATTTAGTTTTAAAGGTTGGCGTGTTCGCCAATAGGAAGAGTTTTAACATTTTAAAGTGCACTTTTGAGGCATCACATGAAAATGTAAAATTCAAAAAAATCAGTGACACTCCACAAATTGTCACGGACCAAATGTCAGTCCCTCTAGTGCTACATGTGCAAAACCCAAACCATCCCCAGTAGATGGGAAATCATGATAGAACAGGGCTAGACACCACAGGGGGCAATAACGAAAATATGTGGTTAGGACTGCATAGTGTGGAATCCACTTCACCTAACATCAGCTGCATAAAAGTTTGGCAAGTTATGTGTCCCTGACCAGGCAGGGTAACTAGAAATGCACATCTCCCTCCACTGACACTGAGGAGCTCAGACTCAAGGTCTAACTCTTAGACAAATTAAATACTCAGTGCAGTGACAAGAAACATTCAGTAGATGTTAGACACTATAATTTGGCAAGTGACACCTAAAAAGCCACCTGTAAAACAGAGGTCTACTCTGAAGAGTGCCAGTAAAGTAACACAGTGCTTCTGTGCACACACTACTTTTTTTATTGTACTTTTTAACCTGCTTAGTGCTAACTGGTTCCTTCTGCCCCACTCATCACCCGTGAAGCCAAATCCAGTACAGCTGACCATGTGCAAGGCAGAAAGTTTTTGCTTGGACCATCTGAAATCACACAGAAGCCAGGGAGGCTGGAAGTAAAAAGCCTAACCAGTTTGTACCGAGCCATGCAATCTCATTTCCACAGATTGTCATCTCACTCAGCCCACAAAATATCCTGTTTTACGTTGGTTAATTAAATGGTAACAGATCTTAGCTGCAATCTTCATGCAGATTGAGGCAAAATCCCAGTTTCCTGTCTGCCTGCACACAGCGTGGAGCTCAGCACTGCAGAGAATTTGTGTTCTGCCTAATAAAGGAGAGCGACAGGAGGAAGGAGAGCCAGCAGCTCTCCCAGGCAGAACTGTACCGCTTAATTTGTGTACTACTGATATGTGGATTCACATCATCTGCATGAAATCAGTGGGATTTCTTTTTTTTATCAGAGTAGCCAGCTGAAAAACAAAAGCTCCATTACTTTCATTTTTCAGGACAGGTTATTTCTCTTTTTAGAGCACTCAGCTGCTCTCTGACTATTGTATCTACTGCTTTGGCTGAAACTGAATGGAAGGAATGGTCAAGGCTTCAGTCGCATGCTTTCAAAACTAAAAGAAGCGGACTTCACTGAGGTGTGAAGGACCAAGACCTTTTTGATCCCACATGCCACAATTATTATTGTCATACACTGTCTGCTACACATTTCATACCATATGTGCTACTGCGCCTTCCTCCTGCCTTGCATTCCATACAGGCCATGCAAGAAAAATCTACTTAAATCTATAGCTATTCCCAAAGGCACCACCTCCCCACAAATGCTTGCTCAACACTGCAATCCAAGAGTCAACCTCAATTCCACAATGGAGGTTTCTTCCAGTTAAAACACTTCTTGAAAGTCAAAACATAGGGAAGAATTTTGAAGAGCCAAATGAAACTACTCTTCAAGTATCTATGAATCTGCCCAACTTCTTTTCATGTATGACAACCAGTTAATTAAAATGACAGGTAATTAAAAACCTGGGAAATATTCCAACCTTCTTTCTTCTTGACTGCTTTCCTCAAGTTTCTGTAGCCTTCAAAAGCACGAGGTACAGTATTGGAAGGCCAAGCCAATGAAGGACAAACCAGACAGTGAAAAGCAAAAGTGATAAGAAGGTAAAATAATGATATATGAGCTTGTGGAGTTTAAAATGAAATTTTAAAAGATACTATCAAGAGACAACAAGTAGTAAAAAGGCAATACATTTTGCACAGTTGGAAAGTAAATAGAAAACAAAGAAGAAGCATTTGTAGGTTAACTAATCTGTCACTGCCAACAACTGTAAATTCAAATTACACTAAGGAAGAAGTTTTAGATATAGACAATATATTTCACTGAGAATTATTTCTAATATAGATTTTAAAAGTCTCTTAGTTCTAGAAAAAGCTTTATCTTCTTTTGCCACTTAAAATTGGCAGGTAAAACACCGAAAACTGCAAGAAGTACTGCCACTGAGCCCAAGTTATATATCCTCAGGCATATATCAGGAAGAAACCAATACGCTAGTTTTACATATGCTGATAACATTGTAAAATATAAATATTTCATAATATATAAAATAGTAATAAGAACTTTTAGTACTAATATTCTAAATCATATAGTCTGAATATAATTCATAAAGATCTTCAAACTGCCTTTATTTTTTTGTTTGGTGTTTTGTTGATTGTTTTTAAATAAAAAGCAGAAAACTGTAGTTCATTTCTCTGGGATTCAAAAGGTACATGCCAATAATTGCTTGGCTTTTTTTTTAATAAATTAACAAAACGTATGCATCAGAAGCAATGAGATGGACAAAGTGTTAGTATTTTTACTTGTACTTTTTCCTCTTGAACAAATGTGGATGTATCAGTAAACAAATGTCTGCATGACTTATGTAAGTGCAGAGATGGCTTAAATTTCAACGACTACTGAAATTCCTCATGTCCCCATCACAAGAAACTTTTGAGCAAAAGCTTTTGCTGCCTTTTCACCTTGCACTGCCTGCCATCTTCCTTCAGTATTAGCTAGGAGCTAACACACTGAACCTGATGTAATTTTGTCACTACTTTAGTTTAATAAAGGTTAGGGAAGTCAAAAAGACAACAGTCAAAAAAGGTTAGCCAGGATGTAAGGCTGACTAACGATTGAAAGGGGTGTGGGAGGTTTGCTCTGGGGCCTCTGGTAGTAGGTCACACTGTGGGACACTCCAATCAAGCACATCAGTATTTCAGTATCCAAAACATTACTGCCATGGAAACCATTTCTGATAAAGTTTATGACAGATTCTTATTAAAGGCTACAGATATATAGCAGTACATACCTGCTGCTCATTCAGAAACTGGCTCTTAGATCTTCAGGCTAGCTCACAACAATTTAGATGAGTTGCATGTATTTAAAATTATGCACCTTTCATCATACTGACCCGTAACCAGGAAAAGAACAGATCAAGAAAGGTATCAGATGGGGCAGAACTAGTAACTAGGCTTACCAATCCCATTTTAACAGGGACGCTAGATAAACTTTAAAAGAACAACCACCCTAAACAGAAATAGCACAGTAAAAGCACCTAAATGCCTGCAGAAGACAGAAGTAGAGCAAAGAATCCCTACCAAATCGCAGGGCAAAATGTCCTTTTGCAATACATTAGCATACCCATAGCCAATTCCTCAAATTTCAATGGAAGAAAAATTCAGTGATATATCCTGAACACAGGCTTCACATTTCATTAATTAAATAGAAGCACTCTGCAGGTAACAAGTATGACAGGCTACATGCATAATCCCTCAAATTCTAACATTTCTTAGCTTCTAAGGAATTTTTCTCTTACCATATGCATCTCAGAAATTTCTAAATATTTATTAACAAGCAGTCTGCAGACGGGCAAGTAGATAGATTCAAACCTTACCAGCACTTTGAAGAGCGTGATGCTATTCTATAGCACACAAGACCTGCTTTAAGATGGGGGATGGACCATCAAGAGGTCTCTTTCAACTTCAGTTTTTCTCTGGTTCTCTAATTCAATAATGCTAGGATAGAAAACTGATCTCAAAAATAGTTTATGGTAAGTAGTCCCTACTTTGGGTCAGCCCACTTGGCTATCCCATTCACATGGTTACTGTCCTGGTGTAAGCAAGTGTGACTGCATGAAGAAGCTTCTTTCAGAAAAAAAAAAAAAAGAAAGAAAAAACTAAAATGAACAACCATACTTTTACTTACTACTGTATGTAGGGTAAAACTTCCAAATGTTTTTTTTAAAGTGATCATCTCCCACAATAAGAGAGATTACTCAATATATCTAGCAACCTTTCTCTGTTTTCTGGTCACTATCCTGCTTAGGCCCCACCCTAACAACTGGGGCTCTATCTAAGCATGTATTTAAATGCATGCTTGAATTTAAAATGTTTTGAAACATCGAATCTCTTTGTTCTTGCATTTACAGTTAAAGAACATATTGAAGTGATTGGCTGAAGAGATGCTCTGCTGATTTCATTTAATACTTCCATCCTGCCCTTAAGTTCCTACAAACACGAGACAGAAAATCTATCAAAATCCCCGTAAAAGTATAAGAGTTTTCTGAAAAATGATACGCAGAGGAAGAATCTAGGTGTACTTAACATGAGTGTTCTGTACAAGTATCAGACATTTGTGTGGTGAATGGGTTTATAGATATAGGATCCTAGATTGCAGATATCACTAATTCAAATTTACTTTATACTTCAACTATCCTTCAGGCTTATACTGTTTTAGTTTCACTCTTAACTTGATTAGAAGCATGGAAGATTTCAAGGAAAAGGGAAAGATCTCAAACACAATCAACATCTCTGAGTACACAAACAGATCCTTGCTGTACTAACTGCTGTCTGAACAGGCATTTCTACCAATCTCTAAGAGCATTTTAGCAGATGAGAAGTTGGAGAGCAAAAAAAGCAAAGCATGATGTCGCAGAGAATTAGGAAACCTCAAATTAAAAACATTCACAAAAGCAGAGAGATAAAGCAAAAGAAGCCATTCCAAGAGCTACCAAAGAATTCCCAGCTATTCAGAATATCTTTTCTTCAGAAAGCTGTTTCAGTTTTGACATAGGGCAGAAAAAAGTTTATAATTTTTGGTTTTGAAAGCTCGTGTTGAATTTCAGATGCATTTTAAAAACTTTTTAATATTAAAGTTTATGGAGAGCATCTGTGCTTTTACCATTGTGCATAATTATATAGAAAAATTAATTACAACAGACATATTCATTCTACAAATACTGCATACTTCACTGGAAGAAAAGATGCAAAGGAAAAACACCTATAACTTCAATGTGTAAAAAGATCTGAAGTAACAGCAGTTTAAGATCCAAACCCACACAGCAACAACAAATGAACTTTAAAGTCTCAGTGGTTAAAAAAAAAATCTACCTCTCTACTAATAAAGAGAAACCAAATAGCATTATAATTCATACACCACCTCTTCTTCTTTTTCCTTTCTTTTTTTTTCAGCTTTTCCAGATCTTTCTTAGCTATGTCTAGAATTTCCATTGTCTCTTTCTCTGAAGAAAGCATAGAAGCAGAAAATGCTGATGGTCCACCAAAGTACGTAGATCTTGTTGATGCTCTTGACAAGTTGCGTCGAAGATTTTCATTCACTGCTTCACTTTCTAATAATTTTGCTCTTAAAAAAGAATTGTAGACCAGTCACAAATATTGCCAACGCATGAGGTATATACTCTTTAGCATCTGTAATTGCAATGCATTACCTTCATTTTAAAAAGAAACTACAAAGCAAGGCGAAGTCTCACCAAATACAAGTGTAGTAAATGCCTTGATGAGACCATTTTATAAAATGGTTATGGATATTGTATATATATCCTATACCCCAGACAGAATACATATAAATCTCTGTATAGATGTACACACAGATATATATCTGCTTACACTATATGTATATACACAAAACCTAAAGTATTATGTAGCCCTAAAACTAACTGGGAATAGGCCAGATTTTTTTTTTTTTTGCATGATACACCTCCAAGAAATAGAGAAATAAAAATATCTGAAATATTTAATATTTGTTTTAATTTAAAAGGAAAGCAGATGCTTTTTTTAATACTAAATTTTTCAGTACTATCATTTATATACGAGGTTATGAAGTTATAAAATAATCATTCCAAGTTTTGCTGTCCTTTGGACAACAATATCAAGTCATTAACATTACTGAGGCAACACGTTACTTTCATTTCTATTGTCAGCTTCATCTTTAACATTTTAATTTTCTGTAGCCAAGAGCAAGACCAATGGTCTTAAAAGTTGAAGGACCACTTGCACACAGAAAAGCTGAAGTATTTACCTGCTAACACTTCTAATGCTTTAGGGTTTTTTTTTAATAAAAATTGTTCAAATACATATTATGCAAATACCTGAGATCTTCAATTTCCTTGATATAATTATGAATCATGTTGCTAATTTCTTCATTTCCTTCTCCTTTAGAGGACAGAAAAGGTGGGTGGGGGGACGAGAAAGATTGAGAAAGGACAGTAACAATATAAATGTCTGAATACAGCTACTAGGCACAAGGCACCAGCAAAGAGAAAGCATCATACAGGCTAAACATTTAGATCTTCTCCAATTTGTAAAATATATTTCCTCCTTAAGATGGATTAAGTTTTTGGTTCCTCTGTGTCATACGATCAGGATTATCACAAGTAACTTTTTCCATTTCATTTGTTTTCCATATTAGCAGCTTTTAACAACACATGTAAAATAAACCCAAAGTAACCTGACAAACAGTGCACAAAAAGAATAATGCAGCCATGGTAAGTTAATTGGCTGACTATTCTATGAAGTGAAAAGCAAGCCAACATTCACCCATCTCTGTCCAGGCTCTCATCCAAAGCAAAATATTTCAGTCCACGAACAGCTAAGCATACAAGTAATTCCAGTCCAAAGGTATTCTTTCACGTTTCACGTTGCTCTTAGTCCTCGGTGAATGGTCAAACTGGGGTACCAAACTACTTCTATTAACAGAAGTCTCCAGAAATGGAGGAAAGAATTAGTTGGGGGCCTATCCCTGCCAAAGCAGGTCCTACATTACTGTTACAAAGGCATCACTTCATTCCAAGAGACCCATGAAGCAAAAATATGTAACTGATTTAAGTTTAGGAACTTATTACACATGCACAACGCGCTCACAGCATACCTGCTCTGGCTAGCACTTGGTTGGCCTGATCACTCATAAGTTGTGTTATTCTGGCTCTCAGTGCATCAATTGTCTCTTGCATTGCTTTAATTCTAACACGTAGGTTGTTGTTTTCTGTTTGCAGCATTGCATTTTCATGAAACATGTCATTGATGCTTTCAACGCCTTCTTCATCTATAATCCTTTTACCCTTAAAAAAAATATATATATAATTTATTACTAGCAAAGGCCGACCTACATGAAAAATTTTTAAACATGGCAAAGGCAATCCACAGATTAGTTGAAATTCCAAATAGACACTCATAGCAAAAGATAATCTTCTCCCATAAAGCTTAAAACAATGGATAAATGGATAGTTTTCATGACATTGATGTCTGGTCAACACTGTAGCATTTGGGTCCTCTGTAATTCCATTTAGTCTGAAATATAAGTTCTTGAAGAGGTGATGAAATGAAAAGGCAATTCTTTATCACATCAGGATATTATTTCAAGGATAACAAAGAGGAGGACATTGCTGATAAGCAAATTTATTGCTGAAAACATTCTTTGCTTAAAATTTCAGAAAGAAATGGGCATTGTGTAGTATGACTATTCAGCTTATAATTTAAAATATATTTTTAAAACTAACTTTTTTAACTGTCTGGTAAGTTTTTTTTAAAGTAATACATAATAAATGTTCACATTCTTGTATATACACCAATCTAAATTGTGGTCATTGTTGCTTTGGAGGTGACTATTTCTCATCACTGCGCATGACATGGTCAATTTTTGCCTTTCAAAAAGCAAACAGCATGCAGCGTCTGTTGACATCAATGGCATTTACTGGTGTACCTTTCCACAGAATCACAGAATAGTTTGGGTTGGAAGGGACCTTCAATGGTCATCTAGCCCAACCCCCCTGCAGTGAGCAGTGACATCTTCAACTAGATCAGGTGGCTCAGAACTCTCATGCAGCCTGACTTCCAGTGTTTCCAGGGGTGGCGCATCTACCACCTCTCTGGGCAACCTGTGCCAGTGTTTCACCACCCTCATGGTAAAAAATTTCTTCCTTTTATCTAGTCTGAATCTACCCTCTTTTAGTTTAAAATCATTACACCTTGTCCTGTTGCAACAGACCCTGCTAAAAAGGCTGTTCCCATCTTTCTTATAAGCTCTCTAAGTACTGGAAAGCCGTAATAAGGTCTCCCCAGAGCCTTCTTTTCCCCAGGCTGAAAAACCCCACCTCTCTCAGCCTTTCCTCATAGCAGAGGTGCTCCAGCCCTTGGATCATCTTTGTGGCCCAACTCTGGACCCGCTCCAACAGGTCCATCTACTTCTTGTGCTGGGGGCTCCAGAGCTGGATGCAGGACTCCATGTGAGCTCTCCCCAGAGCAGAGTAGAGGGGCAGAATCCCC